TGAACCGTTTTGATGATAAACTCATCGTCGCTCGATACGTAGAAGAGGGATCCGCTGGCCCCGGAGTTGGAAAGTTCGATGAGCGGCTCGTTGCAGAGCGAGTACTGAGGAGGACAAGGTGAGAACGTAGAGGTGAGATAGACACCAACGGGAAACTTCAGCACGAAGGCTCTTCCTTTCAAATATTAACAGAGGTACCCGCTGCCGCGCTCAGAGCCTGCAACGGGGCCTCACTGCCCACCGCGGCTCCTGGAGAGGGAACACGACAAACACCCGTCGTGCCGAGCACGCAACGAACGGCAACGAGGCCCAGGCACCAGCTTACCAGATAGTCGTCCGGTCGGATCCCAAAGAGCTCCCGGAAATAGCGAAAGGCCACTGGGGCGTAGGTTTTGAACCGAAAGTCGTTGTAGTGATGAGCTGGGGTGAGGTTGCTCCCTTCACTGAGCAAGGGGAGAAGCAGGCACAAGTATTTGTATTTGGAAAACTTGTTAAGAAGCTGCCCTAAAAGCATCCCCCCAGGAGTGACACGCGTGGGCACACGCAGCAGCACGCCTGCCTTTGCTCACACGAGGGACAGACCCAGGCGGTTCCTTCGTGTGTGAGCGGGGCTGGGAGCTAACGCCGTTACTCGGCACCAAACCACCACCCAGAGAAGAAAGAGAGCACTGACCTCGGGAAGAAAATACTTTCTACTACGTAGAAATCTTGCATGAGAACATCTCTTTCGGGTTTGGTGCTCAAGCTTCCAACTGTGTGTGTAATGCCCAGCTGAATGGCACCTTTCAAGGCAGACGATGTTGTCTGGAGGGGCAGAAAATGTGAGTGAGACAACATGGAGCAGCAGACGGAAAACAGGAAGGAAAGGAGTTAGAGAAAAGAGAGTCTCCAGTTTAAAACAGCATCGTTAGCCACGGTATTTTACACCTACTGCTTCCGGCTTCCATCCTTTCTTTAATTTCTCTGTCTGCCCCTCCTGGCTCTTTAGCCCTAAGGAGTTTGCTGTCATTTTTAAATAAGAAGCAAAAGACACGAATCCCCCACTCCTACATCCTTAAACCGCCCAAGAACAATGTGGGCCTGTGTTCTTGCAACAGCTACTCGCACCCAGAGTCCTCTTCCGCCTGCGAAGCACATGATCTCATCTCAGACCACCGAGACGTGCTTCAGCCCAGCTCGTGCCACAGGCCCTGCCTTTCCCGGAGCGGCCAAGACGAGATCTGCTCCCCCCTCGCCGCCGCCTGTGGCCTCTCCGGTCCCAG